GATTATAGGGGCCTCAATGCGATCACCGCTAAGGCCCTACCTCGCATCGATGACCTATTGGATAGGGTGCAGGGATGTAAATACTTCACTTGAAATTCGACTCCCATCAAATTGCCATTAGACCGGAAGATCAGCACATAACCGCATTTCAGACCAGGTACGGTGTGTACGAGTTTGTGGTGATGCCCTTCGGCCATTGCAATGCACCGGGTACATTCTAGCACGCCATGAAAATGATCTTTCATTGACCTGCGGATTCAGTTATTTGGTTCCTCATTGGTGGAATATAAGTGCATTTCTGCTTTATGGGCAGCGTTGGACTTTCTGGCCTTCAATGTGAATTTGCATTCTGGATTTCTGTCATTTAGCTATCGCTCATTTGTACTTGCACTTTGGGATTGGGGAGCTGATGGAGTGGTGAGCCAGTCCAGTGCGCATGAGTTGTGGGCAAGAGGGAGAAGTTGGGGTGATACTCTGAACATTCGTTGAAATCTGTTGAGGGTTGATCGAGGTTGGAGACAAGTTCGTGGTTGAGTTTCTTGGGAATGTACTCGATTGATGGAGCCGAGCAGGGGGATTTAATAATAATTGATTGAAGACAATTCTTTCAATTCCTTCTTGGGTTTTCGCTTCTGCTGTGCAATATCTCTTGTTCAATATGGTGTGGATCTGCTCTCTCCAGTCTGCCTGTCATTGCTGATGTGTATGCGAACATTTGAATGCAGTTTTGGATTGTCAATCAATCGAGCACATAACACTGTGCCCCTGTGAGTCGCAATCCACTCACCTGCAAAGTCATGCGGGTGAAGCCGCACTGACACATCTCGTTCAGGTTCAGTGAACTTGAGCACATCCCTCTTTTTTTTTTTTTTCAAAGAGTCCTGCCTCCTATTTTGGGGAGCGTGAGTCCGGTTCCTATTCCACCGGCAAGTCAAATAACACATTACATCAGTAACCACTCACACACGCTTCCTTCCGCCAGGTCGAAGGACCCCTGAGCAGCATTGATTGCTTAATCGTGGGAGGATTGACTGTCAGTTTGCCTTGTCACTCTCTTTCCTCTCAGATCCGGTTTCCAGATCTGTCAAATAATGCCTTTGAACCTAGAAAGAGCACATTTGTTATCCCTACCCAACCTGATCCCTCCCCATACACCTCTTTGCCCCCCTTTGGATGGACCACCGTTTCACCTTAAGCCCTAAACCCTCAGCCTGCCTTCTTATCCTCCGATCATCAAACTTGGAACCTGGTAGGGTATTCGTCAGCTTCCGGATTACTGAGGTAGGATCATCCTTTGCAACCCCCGTTCATGCTCCAGTATTATCATCATCATCCCCCGCTTGTCCTCCTTTACTCCACGTTGTCTGTACCCCTGGGTCGTTTGAAGACTGTATTTAACCCCTTGCAGCCTAGGATGTGGCTATGCCTTCCAGCGATGTCTGATGTTGGGAACCCCTTCCCGGAATTGAGTATGCCAATCTTTCCAGTATACCCGGTCCTGTCGTACTTATGCAACCTTGCCATTGACCAGCCAGTTTCTATAGAATCTTTGTCTCTCCTTGTTCCGATGTTCTTCGTCTTCCGTCTAGGCTTGCTTGATCTTCCTCCATCTGCAAAGGATCTCAGCTTGAATCATTGTTTTGGTTTTTATCCACACGTTCTCCCGTGGGTTGGACCGTCCTTCAATTGTTCTGCTGCATCTCTCCTTCCATATGACCCATAGGGTCACTTTCCTGACGAGTTCAGACCAGATCCTTTGAGCCTTTCGTGCCTGATCAGGGATGTTAGTCAACAGGAGCAATTGAATGGGTTGTTCGCGGAAAGGAGATGTGAAGAAGGAATCCCAGAGTGAAGAAGCTCTCGCCCAGTATTCGGTCGCCTCTTTGCACCGCACTAGGCAGTGGACTACATCTTCTACCGCACCTTCGGAACAGACTATACATAGTTCAGAACTGTCTGGGTCTGTGGCTTTCCGTCTAATGTGCAACCATTGGTTCACTGGTAGGGCTGCGTATACAATCAGCCATTGCAAACTTCTAGTCTTAATTGGTCTGATACTTTTGAATTTTTCCCAATGGATTCGTGTAATTTTGTCAGCTTCTGGGCCCACGAGGTTCTGCCATCTGTTTTTTATGATCGGGTCTGGATTTTTGGTCTTTAGAGATAGTCTGTAGCCCAGTTTGACTGAGTAATCCTGGATTGAGATCTTTGATTTGCCGGTAGTATTTGGCTTCGAGGCCCATTCCGCAGGGTCGAATTCCAAGGACCGGATTGCAGTGTCTGGTCTGAAAATTGCCTTTGGCCATGAACCTAGGACCCTCACTTTCCTGAGGAGGAAGGAATCTAGTATAGATGATTCTACGTCGCAGTTCAAAATAGTTAGCGTATTCGAATTTGCGAGGCCAGTGCCTCTATGAGCCCCATAAGGCCCCATTTTGCAGCCCATCGACCGCCCTACGTGAAGGCAGGTTTGACGAGGCCCTCAGGGCCCCTTTTCTGGCCACCACGCAACTCAGGGAAATTCAGGCAGTTGCGCAGCGCCAGTTGGTTGAGTGAACCCAGGCCGTGGGCCGCCTGTGTGAATGTATGTGAGGCAGGCCCTGGGCTGGATACGGGGACCATGCCAAACACAGGCCGAAGGCAGTTGGGCACATGCAACCACTCCAGGCCCAAGGCCTGTTCTCGTCGTGCTGGCTGCATGCTGCGCTATTTGCTGGCTACTGGAAGCTTCATGGGACTGGACGCAGGCAGGCCACTTCGATATAGGGAAGGGCCTGCCTCCTCATTCGGCATTCGGGTGCTGGCTGCATGCTGCGCTATTTGCTGGCTGGCGCCAACGCTCTCCCGGGCGAGCAGGGAAGGAGCACGCAGCCACAGTCGAGCTGTGCTGCTGTAAGCTAGGTGAAGCGCAGGGTGGTCCTTGGGAGCTAGTGGCATCTGTGAGTTGGGGAACGAGGTTGTGAGTGTAGCGCTAGACATACCTGGTGCTGGAAGCGTGCGACATTGGTCGCCATATGCTCGTACTTCGGGAATGCTGTTGATGTCATCTTTCGGCTTCTTAGTATACTGTCTCTTATACACATCTAGATGTGTATAAGAGACAGCCATATGCTCTCGTACTTCGATAATGTTGTTGACGTCATCTTTCGGCTTCTTAGTATAGGCTAGATAGGATCTGCCACATGTAGTCTGGGCGCCGAGCGCCAAGATAGGATATCAACTCTAGTTCTTCGTTGATGATGATGGGACTTTTAGCATTGTCAATTATGAACTCTTGGTGTGTTTTTATTTGGTGAATCTCGTGATGCAATTCTGCTGTTCGTTCGAGGTCAAGACTATCTGGACTCATATGTACGATGTTGTTTGATTGTTGAAGTTCGCTATTGCTCATCTTCCTTGCAATTTGGTATCAGAGCTGTGGTACAATTGCGCTCATCTGGCGCTTGTCTTCTGCCTTATGCGGTACATACATGTGGTCTGCTGGTCGAGTTTGGCCGTAAGTTGTATGTAGTGAGGAGGGTGGAGACGAGTGTATAGGCGACCCAGGAGGTGCGGGGATCGCCAGGAAGGCTACGTGAGGTGAATGTGGTCTGGACAGTGTGATGAGAACTATCTAATGTGCGACTGATGCTGAGGTGGAACGACGTTCAATGCTGGTTGTGCCGACGCAGTGACTGGTCATCGCAATCGCCATTTGGTCATCTGGTGAGATTATCTTTGTGGTTGGGGGCAGCTATTTGAGGTACGTTGCTCTTAACATTATCTTCCCTCTCCGACACTTCTTACCGTGAGGTTGTGTGTTCCTTCTTGAGAGTCCTCTCATCGTGAGGTGTCGAGTGCGCTCAACCTTGAGAGTCGGCAATGTTCACGTGGAGCATCTGGGTGGAGATGGGCGGAGCTTTCTGAAGGGCCCTGGACGAAGCACTGGGTCACGGTCACCATGCCAACCCACAAGGAGTAGAGCACGCATGCCTTGCTGCTTGTCCTTTGTTCGGCTTGCTGCGCTGTTAGATGGGTACTACTAGGCAGGCCAGCCCTACAAGAAAGACGAGCACCCGGTGTCTATAAATAAACACGGGAAGGGGATATCACTGGTTGTGATCGTCGTCCTGCTGCGACGTAAAATAATTCCTGATGTCACTTTTGGGCGGACGTTAAAATGCCTTTGGATCAGCCAGTGATGTAAGGCTCGCGGCACGCCGAGGATAAATATACGTGCAAGGCTGGCCAGCTCAGTGGATACTCGGGGCACAGGGGTGGGCCGGACACACACCTTTAGACACTCAACGCTCTCCAGATTGCTCAGGGACGCTGACGTCAAGTGATACTCAGGGGAACTAAGGGAGGGGTTGATTTCAGGTGACAAGTTCGAGAAAATTCCATGTTGTCCTATCCACACAAATGATTCTGTTTTTATGTTTTGATTAGTTAGATGTACAGCCATTGACATCTGACAGACAACATCAGTTAGAACTGTTTATCGTTCCTGGTGCTTCTGTTTGCGGACTAGTCAGACTAAAAATAGTTTCGTTTGTAGGAATCTGACTTACCTGTTGACCTCAAGTGATATCTATTCCGAAATAGCAACCAATTACTTTGTTGGTTTGTGCACTACGCTGCGGTAGGCATACAGTGTGCAATAGTGCAGATTGTGTACAAGTCTGTAGCTTATGAGCGATAGGGAAGAACAGCAACCGGACGACCGGATTTTGCGATCGGCAAGGCGCCCAGTAGCCCATTTGGCAATAGGGCTAGAGGGCGACAAACATTTGTTCCGCCAACTTACGGAAAGGCAGCAACAACATCAGAGGGCTAGAGCAACAGAGGCTAGCAGGACCCTCGTGAGTGAGGCCGCAGTTTCGGAAGCCATGTCTACCTCAACAATGCAGACTTCTCAAGCCGGTAGTTCAGGGTTTGTAGGGTCAACGGTCGCGCAGACCCAGGTGCAGTCCACTGGCGTAATGGCGAGCCAGCCATTGTTGTTGACTCCCGAGGAGATCGCCGTATAGGAGGCAGTCCTCCAGGAGGCACAACTACAGAATGCTTTAGGAAAGATAAAAGCGGAGAAAGAAAAGATGATCAGAAGAAGAGCCAGGATGCAACGTAGACAAGCGGACATTAGTGAGTTAGAGGAAATGGATATGACGAATGTGCCTGAAGATGTGAGACTTGTATGGTCGGTCCTGCTGAATGTAGTAGAGATGCAGGACCATCAGACAACCATCCTTCAGGATATCCAGCAAAGTCTGGCCTTGTTGGTTGGGCGAACGCAGGCCACGTCACCAATGTCCGGGCCTGGTGCCTGGCCCGTTGCACACCCTCCTCCTTTTGTCCCACCGGTGACTGGGGTATCCCCATATGTAGCTCCATCATCGGTTGCTATCGTTTCCCTGGGCATGCCGCTGTCAGGAGGGGTAACAGCAGGGAGTAGTTTGCAGGTTCCTGTTGAGACAGTGTACACCCAAACTCCGTCGCAGGTTGCAGTCACCATGCAGCCTGTTGTCTCGCAGCCTGTGCAGCCGCAGGGCACACAGCTCCAGCAGTTGGCACAGCAACCTGTGTCACAGGGTCCACAGCCCGTGGTGATGCAGGGACCGGGACAGACACAGTGGGTCCCAAAGACGGCCATCGCCGCTCCCAAACCTTTCACAAGGGAAAAGAGGCGTGAAGACCTCGACACATGGTTGAGGGCAGTGTCGGTCTACGTCAGGTGTAAACTTACCTTGCCGCACGAAGAAGTGCTTGTGGCTGCATCCTACCTAGAGGGTAGTGCAGCAAGATGGTTGAGTGGTTTAGTACAACCCCAGGGGTATGGTCATGACTTCCGTGCTTGGGCGGCCTCCCAGAAATTGGAGGACTTCCTGAAGATGGTGGAGGAAAGGTGGCATGATCCTCAGGAGGCCCAAGGGGCCACTGATGCGATCCTTACACTGCACACGAGGCAGTTTAAGTCAGTAAGGGAAGCCATCGACGCTGTTGAGAGTCTGATCCGTGTCCCAGGGGTGCGCTATGACCCCCAGGTCCTGCTGACCTCGTACTTGAGATGCTTTTCTCAGCCTCTCAGGAACTAGTTGGCAAAAAAGGTTAACATCAATATGCACAACTTTCCTTCGTTCAGTAAGGTGGCCCTAGACCTTGAATCTAAGATAGGGCATGGACAGGCACCCACTACAGATGGGAAAAAGAAGACTGCCTCTCAACTGGAAGGCGAAGGGTCGCTTGATGTTCGTCGATAATGATGGTTCTACTATCGAAGTAGACGTACACTTCCAGGAGGGAGTAGGTTCAGAGGCGGACAGCTTGAAACTTCAGAGGGTGGAGTGGTCGCTGTCGTAGCACAGAAAGGTAAGGCGGGGGTAGACGCCGCGGAGGCTCCCGGTCTAGGAGTCAAGTTGACCCCAACGCTCCTCCATGGGAGAAAGCGGGTCTCACTGAGGACGTGTGGAGAGACCGTTACTCTCGGCAGGCCTGTATTCGTTGTGGTCAATATGGCCACAGCCAATTCAAGTGCCGCAACAAGAAGGTGACAGAAAAGATCCCGCCTACGATGGGGCAAGTGTTGGGATCCTCTCATCCCGTTGGTAGCAACGTTGCTAGTACTTCAGGCAGTGCTCCGGGAAACACGTCAGGCCAGTAGGAATAGTAGCTGTTCCTGCTAGGGTCAAGATGGTGGAGACACCCTCACCATCTCGATGGATGGCCCAAACTACTGACTCCCATGTCGTCCCGCAAACACATTCAGACCCATTGAGCCTTTGTTCGATGAATGTGTTAGAGTCCTTAGAGGAGTTAGAGGTGGAGTGGTCTAGATTAGACCCAGTAGCTTCTTGGACGACACTAGTCAAAGTCCCGAAGGGTGAGATGTTCGTCAGCGAGGTTGTCATTGGCGGCCGTAAGGCCGTGGCCTATTATGACACTTGCTCGACACGGAACTTTATTAGTCGCGCGCATGTTGAGAGACTGCGCTTACAGGGGCAAGTGCAGCGCCTGAGTCGACGTGTGGAGTCGACTTGTGCCAACAAACAGCGCATGGTAGTCAACGACTACCTCCATGATGTTGAGTGTTGTTTCCCGTACGCGGGAGGGGAGTTGAGACATCGTGGCTCGTTCCTAGTAAGTGACGAGCGCCCAATGGATATATTACTAGGTATGTACTACCTCTCTGTAGCACAGCCCCAGTTTGACTGGGACCGAAAAGTGGTCAAACACACTTTGCCAGGTGGAGGGACCGCCAGATTACATAAGTTCAAAGCTAGTAGTCTGATTGAGTCCTATGGGAGCATGTGTGCGGCCGAGTTCCACAATTATAATAAGCAAAATCAGGAGGAGGGTATGTATTTAGTTCGTCTCTGCTGTAGGCGAGCCGGTGAAAATGCCACCGGAGATAGAGGGAGTAGTTGCTAGGTACCCTGATCTAGTTGAAGAGCCAACAGGGGTTGTTGAGAGGGAGGTCGTCCATGCGATAGAGATTATCCCAGGGTCTAGTATCCCGAAGGGTAGGATCTATCGGATGTCTCCAGGCGAGCTTGATGAGCTTCACCGCCAACTCGAGGAACTCGTAGAGAAGGGTTGGATCCGGCCGAGTGTCTCTCCTTATGGGTCTCGAGTTTTATTCGTACCTAAGAAGGAGGGTACTCTTAGGATGTGCATTGACTATAGGGGCCTCAATGCCATCACTGTAAAGAATAGATAGCCCCTACCGCGCATCGGCGATCTGTTAGATAGAGTGCGCAAGGGTGTCGGTACTTCAGTAGGATAGATCTGAAGTCTGGGTACCATCAGATTGCAATCCGGCCCGAGGATCAGCACAAAACCGCTTTCCAGACCAGGTACGGTCTGTACGAGTTTGTGGTGATGCCTTTTGGCCTTTGCAATGCTCCTGGCACTTTTCAGCACGCTAAGAATCGGATATTCCATGATTACTTAGATAAGTTTGTCATCGTGTACCTCGATGACATACTTATTTTTAGTAAGACTGTCGAGGAGCACGGTGCACATTTGGACAAAGTTCTCAGTCTTCTGCGACAGAACAAGTTCAAGATCAACGGTGAGCAGTGCGAGTTTGGCCACACCCGTGTCGTGTACTTGGGTCATGAGATTTCCGCAGAAGGGTCGAAGCCCGATGACGCGAAGGTGGCCAGCATTCGTGATTGGCCACGTCCTCAGTCTGTGACTGAGATGAGATCTTTCTTGGGAATGACAGGCTACCATAGGACTTTCGTTAAGAACTATAGCATAATGGCCGCTCCTTTGACTGATCTGACCCGCCTTGACACCCCATGGGAGTGGACAAATGAGTGCGAGGCTAGTTTCAGACATCTGAAGCCGGCGTTGACGCACTACGAGGTCTTGAAACTTCCTGATCCTGACGAGCTGTTCATAGTCACCACGGATGCCAGTCGATATGGCATTGGCTCCGTGCTCGCGCAGCAGGAGGGGCCAAAGTTGAGGCCTGTAGAGTACATGTCCAAGAAAATGTCGTCTCAGAAGTTGGCTAAGTCCACCTATGAGAAGGAACTCTATGTGGTTTACAAGGCTCTGACCCATTGGAGACACTATCTCCTTGGGAGGTTCTTCATCCTCAGGACTGATCATCAGACCCTGAGATGGATGAGAACTCAGCTTGTACTCTATGACGCCCTCAAGCGTTGGATTGAAGTCATTGAGCAATATGACTTTGACCCTCAGTATCAGAAAGGGGAGTACAACAGGGTTGCTGATGCCTTGTCGCGTAGACCTGATTTCTCTGGTGCGCTGCTTACTGAGTTCGATCTAACGGACGGTGTTACTCAGTCTATGGTGGTATGTCTGAGATCATACGCAGACTTAAGGCGAAGGATAAGAAGACTTTTGTCGAGTTTGAGTTGGTCAATGGCTTGCTGTTCCTTGAGAAGGACGGGAATAAACGATTGTGTGTCCCAAATAGTGAGTCTTTGCGTAGTTTGTTTTTAGGTGAGTGCCATGATGCCACCGGCCATTTTGGGTATAAGAAGACCGCAGCCAACTTGCTGCAGCGGTTCTGGTGGCCCACGATGATGAGAGATGCCCAGTTGTACGTGGATACTTGTCAAGTTTGTCAATGGGACAAGCCACGTACTCGGGCTCCTCTTGGGCTTCTGAAGCCCCTTCCGATTCTGGAACGGCCTGGTGAGAGTCTGTCCATGGATTTCATGGATACTCTGATCACCAGCAAGAGTGGGATGCGTCACATCTTCGTCATCGTGGATAGTAATGCCGGAAACAGCGAGAACGGCGGAGTATGTGATCAGAATGTTTAAAGAGAAATGGGTCAGGGACTTTGGTTTACCGAAGTCTATTATTAGTGACAGGGATGTCCGGTTCACTAGCGTGTTATGGAAGGCAGTTGCTGCAGAGCAGGGAACTCAGCTGCAGATGACTTCCGGAAATCACCCAAAGGCCAACGGTCAGGATGAGCAACTGAGGTGAGAAGCTTGCTCTCACCGCCAGCCTGTAAAACACCTGTTGAGGCATTACATCAAGCCCAACCAGGTGGACTGGGATGAGAAGCTTGCTCTCATCGCCAGCCTGTACAACAACGCTGTACATAGGGCCACCGGGGTGAGCCCAAACAACTTACTGCAAACATTTAAGCCTAGATTGCCTCTAGAGTTTCTTCTTCCTAAGAATCAAACAACTGCTGCACCAGGTACCTTGGAATTTGCTTACCGCTATGAACAGAAGATGCAGCAGGCTATAGAACAGATGCAGAAGGCGCAGGCTGCAATGATAGAGTCTGAAAATAGACACCGCCGGCCTTCTACATTTCAGGTTGGAATTCGTCAGAATTGGGACAGTAGCACGGGATCTCCCGCAAACTCATGCCCCGGTACTTTGGACCCTGAGAAGTCTTGGATATCGTTGGGACAGATCCGGATGGGCCATCTTATGTTATTCGGATCCCTGGTCATCTCCGTACTTACCCTGTCTTTCACACCTCCGAGCTGGCACCTTTCAAAGATACTGACCAATTTCCATCTTGTCGCTCAATGTTGCCCCCAACTATGGATGGAGAGGTGGACATCGATGATATTGTGTATCACAGAGAGCTGCGGGTATCAAGACCAGCAGGCAGGGGACGTCCTCCGAAACCGAAGCTGCAGTACCGTGTTCGGTTCCGGCATGACATTGATCCAAAGGAGAACCGCTGGTTCACAGGGGAATAGCTCCAGACCGCTCCTCAAGTTGTAACCCAATACGAGAAATCTCTGCAGAAGGGAAAGCGCCCTATGATCGAAGATTGAGCTTCTCAGAGGACTGTTGAAGTTGAGGAGGAGGGAATGCGAGGCCAGTGCCTCTATGAGCTCCATAAGGCCCCATTTTGCAGCCCGTCAACCACCCTAAGTGAAGGCAGGTTCGACGAGGCCCTCAGGGCCCTTTTCTGGCCACCACGGAACTCAGGGAAATGCACGCAGTTGCGCAGCGCCAGTTGGTTGAGTGAACCCAGGCCCTGGGCCGCCTGTGTCAATGTATGTGAGGCAGGCCCTGGGCTGGATACGGGGACCGGTGTCGGAGGGCGCTGTGTCCCGGCCCTCCTCGGTGTGTGAAGTTCCTGCCTGGCACCAGTGCTTCGGACAAATGTCGTGGCTGTCTAAGTTGCTACTGAACCTCCGCGGCATCTCTGATATACCTGGGCGGTGCCATGACGCAGACCGGTCCAGTTGGTACCTGCCCTCAGGCAAGAGGTGCGCCGCTGGACTTTCCATTGGTCCACGCAGGCTCGGCGCCCTGCTATACAGCAGAGCACTACCGGCCTGTGGCCGTGGTAGCCGTTGGGTTAGCTCAGGGACACGAAGGTAGAGGGACCGGCGCAGTCTTTTCTACTGCGCGCCGAGTGCCCCCATGCCAGGTTATGGGTTAGGTGCGCGAGATGGATATTGTTGATTAAATGAAGAAGATCAGGAAAAGGGAAGCAAAGGAAGGGAAAATGTGAAAAAGGAAAGGGAAACCTGAGCGTCGAGTTTATGCAGTGGTCCAAGTTCTTGCTTTAATTCAGGGTATTTTGTGATCTCGTAACTCCCTTTTCCTCTTGATATTATTACTATTGTTATTATTATTCAATTTCCCTTTTTCACGATTCGCCAGACTCAGTTTTCTTTCTGGCCTGTCATTTCAGGGTGCCAACTGGTTAACTTTGAGCCGCGATCGTCATCTGATGATCCAGGTTGGCCTGGCTCTTCGTTTGTTTCCCTGTGTCGGGTCTGTCCAACTGAGTTTCGCGCGGTAGGGCCCCAAAAGAGGGGTGACCCGCGGCCGCATTGGTAGGAGGCTTATCACCCTCCCCAGTGGAGAGTCATAAGCCCCGTCCTTGCCATCGGACATGGGTACCCGACAATTATAATCTGGTGTTTCCTTTTAGACCGAGAGGTTTGCTGGTCAGTGTCCCGCTATGGGACCCTTGCCAAGGTGGCGGTCATTTCGCACGGAACGTCGGCGCTATGACCGTTGGTGTCCTATCTTCTGATTTTCCCTTTTGTTTTATTTTCGTTTTATTTTCACTAAATTGTAAATCAAAGATCGGAATACTGGAGTCAGGTTTGTAGCTCCTCCATTTACAGCACAGGGTCACAGTGGGAGGCAACCATATAAAGCGAGGGTGGGCTTGCCAGTTAAGGCGCACCACACTCTGAGCTTAGGCTATCTCGTTGTGCCTGGTACTAGTGAGCCCGAAGGAGAGAGGGCTGGCTAGTGTGGTGAACGTGCGGCAGATCTTTCGATTGCCCGCCCTCGTGCTCTTAGTGTTTGGGTATAGTTATTAGGGAGTCAATGGCTTGGTATCGGGGGTTCTTTCGAAAAGGCAGCCATGGTGCGAAGCAGTGGGCTGTGCGGCTATAGGCCGAGGTGCATCCAATCCCTCTACAGATGAGAGCGGATGTTGGGAGATGGGCCTATAGTAACTACTGTGCTGGACTACAGCTACGGCAGGCGAGAGGCGAAGTTGAGAATAAATGTAGAGGGGGGGAAAGAGGGAGAGATGAGGGCGGACCCAGACCTGCAGATGGCGATTACTGAGGCTAGGGACCGCGCAGAGAGAAGGTGCAGACGGGATGGGGTCACAGATGAGCTGAAAGTGACCATATCGTACCTAGAGACAGAGACTTTGGATCGGGACACGGAGGCTGAAAGTGAAGCCAGTGATTTGAACGCGGAGACCCAGTCTTGGCACGAGCTAGACCAGTGGCGTCGGGACCACCCATACACAGAGCCTGTCGAGAGTGGCCCAGAGGCCGACTCATGATGGGGAGGCCGGGACCACTAGGCGTGGAACGTGGGACTCAACAGAGAGAGGGAGAGACACACGGGGGGTAGCGATAAAAAAAAAGTCAATGCTCACGCAGACAAGACCCCAAGATGACGGTGAGTTGGGATGAACGTCAACCTCGACTGGCCAGGAGCGGGGGATCATCTCCTTCTTCCTGGACCCTGAGTGAGGCTTGGTTCAAGGGTCGCCTCGTCTTCCATCTTCGGAGTACCGCGAGAGTGTGATCTGTGCCTTAACCTTCCAAAAACGGTCAGGCGGGGAGGCGTCACTATGCATGTACGGCATGCGGACAATGCATGGTTACACGGGGGTGGTCAGCTACTCAGAGCGTGTGTGAGCATGCGAGGGAGAGAGGAAGCTAGACTTCGTATTTATTCCATGTACTCTAGAGTTGCTGATTGATAGCTTCACAAGGTTGTCCTATTGCCCTTCGTAAGTTGGTTGTTGTTCGTCATCCTTGGTGCGGTGATGGTAGAGAGGAAGCGCGTTGGCAAGACAAAAATGAGGCAGTTATGAGAATAGTGCACGCGACGGTCAAGAGAGAGAGGGTGAGCAGTTGGGCTGATGAGCCCATGAAGGTAGTCCCGTGACAACATCGCGAGGGAGATGACAAGAATGACAACCGCGAGGGAGAGACGGATGACGAGAGTTACGAGCACGACCCTCTGTTGACGTCAACATTCACGAAAGGGGACTTCGCGACAATGAAGGGGAGGAGGTCTGAGTATAAGTAGGTGGAAGATGCTAGATGCATGACGACGCTGCGAAGGTGATCGAGAGCGAGTGTCACTACTCGTACGGACGGTTTTCCGCCTTATCATTGCAGTCAGTTCTAGCGAGTTGTGTCGTCCTCCATTTTCTGTAGAGTAACTGAGTTTGAGGCGCGTGCAAGGTATTGCCTCTGTGCGCGGTGGGCGATATCTCCTGACTTTGGAAACGGTGACACATGTATAGTAGTCACCACTGACTATCCTGGAAAAAGGGAGATTGTAAAGACCCTTTGGAGTCGGCGCTTCTCTTATAGTCTGAGTCACTACTTTCGAGAACGCGAATAGGCACGTTAGACTTAGCCCTCAAGAAGATTTCAACTCGCAATTACTGTCCAAACCTTCGAGACGATACTGAACAATGGCCCGTCTGGGGGGGGGGCATCGCAAAAGCGGAGATAATTGATATGCAAGAGAGTGATTCTGTTAATGAAACGCGGGGAGTGGTGCTCAAGCGGGCCTTCAGTCTTATTGGTAAGAAGGCTTTTTACTTGTAGTAGCAACGAAACTGAGAGCAGAGAATTGGACGCGCTCAGAGAAGACACGAGTAGTAATCTGTGTTTAGCAAAGAAGGGGGGGGAACTTTCATTTGAGAACAGCGCCGAGAGGAGAAGGCTCGATAAACGCCCTTTCTTGATCCAACCTGCTCTCTAACCTGGTGTGCCTCAATCTTGATGTTGGTTCGTCTCTACTCTCCGGCCCCATTCTACATCAGTCGTTCCTTCTTTACTTTCTCCTTTGCGAGTGGCAGGTATGAAGCCTCTTGAGGAAACTCTGAGTTTACTGGTATTCTGAGCATCGTACATATCTAAGCGGGGTCGCTATTCGTCGTTATTTCCACTGAGTACGGTCAGCCCTCAGTCCGATTACACTACGGCAGGCCACTGACTATCAAGAGTTGTCCAGAAGTTATGGATGGGGAGAAATGACCATTGATAGGTGAGTTCACTGATTGAAACCAGGCAGAGAGATTCATTCAAGTTTTGCACTTTTTTTTTCTTTTCTTTCTTTTGTTTTCCTTTTGCTACGAGCAGTGGCCCTAAGGGCCTAGCTCCACTCGTCAACACTTGCACAAAAGACAAAACATATGGCAGCGTATGATTCCATGTTCTAGCAGAAGATTCATTCGAGTTTTGCACATTTGGTGAGTAGTGGAGGGAAGCCCTAAAAATCACGCGCTGAGTTGGCCTGCTATTGCCCAGTGGTCCCATAACTACTGAAACACGGACCTTAATGTGAATCTACACCATATATAGCAGGCGTGCTACTGCCTTGCAACATGTTTGAGAGGTGCCTCT